TCTGAAGAAAAACTTCCTTCCAGAAACAAACCTCGCGGACGGCTATATAGGCGTCTGTCCGACGTCCAATACTCCTACCTACTGACTCAGCGATGTTGCTGGATCGGCGGTCAAGAACTGAGAACAAGATGAGAGTGCTGCTGCTGGCTTGGCGAATGAGAACGAAAGAGAGTGACCGTGGGCTCACCTATAGCGCCCTCCGTGTAGGGGTGGTGCGCGTCATCTCCCCCTCTCCAGTCTGACTGCTTCTACGTTATATTCCTGCGCCGTGCCGCAATAATGGCGCGCAACAGTATTGTCGGCTGCGGGCGCACCCTTTTCAAACCATGCCGCGCTGGCTCACCCGGTCTACCATAAGCGTTTTCTTGATGTGTGGGCGTATGGGACAAATGTAGTCACTCACTACATATCCCTTTAATTATTATTTTTTGTTTATCATTCGCTGAATATTTAAATGTGAACAGATTGTAAATTTGTAGAAGAGAAAACAAAATTTCTTTCTTGTATAGATATGTATACACGGAGAAATATTCGTAGTAAAGTGAAAGTTTGTATTGTTGGACCATTATACGAAAAGGAGATTAATCTTGTTCTAATATTTAGTAAATTACTTATTCCAAAACAGTATATAGTTAGAAACCACGATTTTTTCGTCCTTGGTTTATAAATATTGATTTATGATAAAAACGTCTGTCCATGAGTGAACAACACAAGCGCAAGTAAACTATTCATAGGATTTTTACCAGAACAAATACTCCATGGTCGATCTTACCTGTCTTGAGATTCTGCGATTTTAAAAATGTTTCTTTAATTTTGTGCGTAAATTACACTTTTGGAGCATCAATATTTTTTTTTAACTGCTCAATTTAAAAAAATTATAAGAATATATTGAAATACACTTAAGGAGATAGTGTAGATCTAATTTTCATTGTTATCCCTTTTGCGTCTTCCTACTATTACAATACCGCGTTCAAGATAGTGATTGTTTGTCTAATGTAATTTGTTCTCTGCAATCAGTTCATTAACTATTGACATGTACACATTTTTGAAATTTATAGTAGTTTTGCCGTAAAGTTCTATTTTTTAAAAACTTTTTGTACGGATACCAACAAGTTAATGAGGTAACATTTGATGAGGGTAATAAGGTATATGATGACGTAAATGCAATTTTGCTGTATTCTTCAATCACAAAAATATAATATCTTTGTTCTCTCTTTCACATCAGTAATATTTACAATACCAGCAATTTGTATAACTAGCAGCTAAATGTTTGCACATGCGTTTCTGGTAGCATATCATGTATGTCACCAAAATTTTGAGGTGTGTTTCGACATGAAGGCTCTGATACTTTTCTTGCAAGATCTTTTACAATTTACTATAAACTTTCAGAAGCTTACAATTGACTTATGCACAAGAAAAGTGACTCATAAAAAATCATAATTTTTTAGATAGTGAGTGAAGAAGAGTATGTTTAGAAAATAGTCTATATTTAATAGTAAACACATTGAAGATGTAGGAACAACCACCGTCTTGTGTCTGTGTAATGAAGTTTTTTTCACAGATGTAATATTCAGCTGATTGTCTTTTCTTATAAAAAAAATTTCTATTTATTTAAAATTTACTTTTATTTGTTGCTATACAATGGGAGGAGGTGGACTAAATCTTCATGAGCCACCATTGATTATGCTTCTCATATGAGTAAACATCTTTATTGTCACCTGTGAAATAAATGGTCCCAAAGAGCATGAAACCTTTTTCCTTCACAATAACATTGCTTGAGATGTCACTTACTTTGTGTATCAGTACTAGGATACACAATACAGTATTTTAGACATTTAAAAGTTTGGGCAAAAGTGAGAAGTTTCTATAAAATTGAACATTTTAGTCCACATTATGAAACCTCTCGGTGGTCACATTTTTTTTTTTAATGTCTATCATGTAATTTCCTTCCCTTTTCTCAAGCATTAGTTTTTCAGTCTGTTTCAGTGTCCATTTTGTTCGTGGTCTTCCAACATCTCATTTTCTTTTGGGGCAATATTGCACTGCTAACTTTTGAATTCTTAGATATTCAAACCATTCTCTGTTAATTCTTACCAGTATGTCATTAACTCTTCAAAATGGATTATTAACCAATTGCTTTTGATAGCATATGGATGTGGTGTTCATTATTAAAATTTTAATTATATTCATATTATTGCTTATTCCTGTGCTTAATTGCTTCACAGAATTCATCATGCAACTGATAATGAAAGTATTAAAATATAACTTATTTTATAATATAAAATACAATCTTAAGAAATTTAAGATTTTTACTGGAAATTTATCACACTAAAAAGTTTGTTGGATTAATTTCAAAATTTTAATAGAGCCAAATTTAGTGAATGTGCAATGATAAGAACAAAAGGCTCTCTACTGAAGATTCCAATGAAAAAGCTAATTGAGATGTTGAATTTGATTGATCACTAAGTAAGGAAGGAAAATTACAAGATGTGTCTACAATGTAGATTTGGTATAGGAAATTAAAGTCTTCAGAGAAAGATAACAGTGCAACTGAAGACATTAAATTATTGTTTTTATTGAAAAAATAAAAGTCTTCTGAAGTAGAATCATTCCATGGAAAAAAGTACATCATCAAAACTCAGCCTCCAATAATTATAAATTATTCTACACTAGCTGCTTCTTAAAGTAAGTATGCTTTTTGTGAAATAATAAATTATCACCCATTGTTGCATCATAACATGGTTGAAGTTCTATACATCTACATTACACATCTGTTATTTATTTTTTCTGGTCAAGACAAAAATCAGAAATTGATTTCAAAACAATGTTTGTTCGAGTAAAGAAAGGACAGTTTTCACTTCACATTAATATTGTATGTTCAATTAATACTGTGAGAGTTTTATTAATAAACATGCTCTAAACATTATTAAAATATTAATAATTCAAACTGCAATGTTTTAATTAACCTGAAAAATTTTCTGAGAGTAACGATGCTTATGCACAAGTTGGGACCTTAAAATCTAAGTATATAAAAAATTTGCAACTTACCATGACATTTATGTATCACTCCCTTGAGCACTGGTGCACCTCAAAAAATCTAAGCTCTAATATTCAAACTTCATGCACAACTTTCATGGTGAAATGGCCATAATATTTTGAACATTGCATTATTGTCCATAAATTCAGTTCTTTTGGAGTGGGGATATGAGTCCATTTGAGACTACTGTACAGATGCTGTTAATCACTTACTCCAAGGCTATTATCAAAAAAATGCAATTCTACCAAGATACTGAAATCTTTCTAGAGATTGCAATACTTGAGATTTTTGTTTTTGTATTGCCCTGCTGCTCTATCACTATTTTTTTTTTTTTTTTATTTTTATATTTCAGAGAATTTTACTTGCAAATCAATGATTTTTCTTCTGAAAAAGATTTACCCCTGCACAGTCAAGTCCAATAACCTGATATGGTTTTCAAATAAAAGGTTAAATGAATCACAGTTTTCAGAATTTCTGCGATCAGTAAGAAATAGGTGTATTGTAGTGTGCGAATTACTCCAATGATAACCCTGAATAGCATGTTGTGAAACCGAAAGTTTCAGAATAATTGCCAATAATTATAAATTTGCCTGGCTGTATGACATTTCTTAGAAGCTCCAAACAGCTACCCCACACCATTGGTGTAAAATCATGGGACATAAATTTTCGAATGTTCACGATGCAGTGTTTCACAAATAAATTTTACCACTTAATATAATCTTCTGGACCCTGTCAGTTGCAGTCAATTTTTTTATGTTTTGAGTGAAAACAATTTTGGGGCCCCAATTAAGTCAGGCTGGGGCAAGTTGCCCCAGCTACCATCTCTTTGGATGTCCCTGCTTGTACTTCATTGGTCACAAAGCAGCTTTACAAATGCTGGCATACATTGTAGTATACTGCAGTTCGAGCACAATTATGGCTGATAATTACAAACAATGCTGATATTAATTATTTTATAATATTCACATTTGAAATTGTCTTACCATGAATTCATAGATACATAAATTTTTATGAACATTTAACCATAATTTTCACTGGTTTATCTACATGTTAACTTGAAAGGAGCTTCATTTGTTTTTCTTATGAATTTTGGCATGTAACTATCTATTTCTGTGTTAATCACATAATAAAAAATTAAAAACATTGAAAAACCTACTTTTCAAAATCCTAAAACTCTGTACAAACATGATCCAGAACTAAAAAATTAAAACTGAAACATTCTCTAAGGATATAATAAATTTTTTTTCTGGTTGAAAACTATCTGCCAAAAGCACAATGAAAATTATTTCTTGAGAAGTGAAAAGTGATTTTAATAGTATTTTCATGTGTCATATATTAATTAAGTTCTATTTATGTATCAAAAAAAAAAAATTTTTAACTAAAATTTGAATTTTTAATGCAACAGAACAAAATTAAGCAGAACAGATTATGTTGAGATACCTATTCCATCATTTCACAAAACTAGTGATGTTACAACAGCAGACACCTTCTTGCATTATTTCTAAATTTGCAATTTTCGAAAATTCAGTGTTCACCAAAAATAAGACCTCTGCTATTCTTTAAAGCGGCCCTCTATCTCCATGGAAAAAAATTTTGAGCAATATTTGAGAAAATGTTTTTTTAATGTTTTGCATTAACTTCAAACAGAAATTTTGCAAAAATTACTACTTTTGCAAGTAATTTTACTTTACTTTTTTAAAGATTTGATTTTTTACATAAGATTTTGTTTAAGACAAAAATTTCTATCTTCAATATTGTACCTTTGCAATGGTACATTTTGCAATTTTCGAAAAGAGAGTTCACTGCAAATGGTACGAGCACAACTTTTTATACCATCCTATGATAAATATATGGAGAAAATTTAAAAGTAAAAATATTACTCAATTCTTGAGAAATAAATTGCTTAAAAAATTTAAAAATTACCTAAATTGCACACAAAATTACTCCTATGAAAACTACTACTATTTTCAAAATAGAATCAGACAGATAGACAGGCAGAGACAGAGAAACAGTCAAGACGGGCAGAGACAGAGAATTAGTCAGACGGGCAGAGGCAGAATAACACAAGAGACAGGTAGATGGACAGAGAGACATTGTTGCTGTCAATCAAATTTTCAATATCAAGGCCCCGCAAAACATAGTTACTGTCTACACATGTTAGAGGAAGTAATTTAATGCATACATGAGATTTATCTCCTTTTTCATTAGAAGCCTGGCAATAGGAGTTTTTCTGATGAAAATTTGCTCTTTTGCTGTGCACGATTACAACACTTTTTCTACCTTATGAATTAAGGGCAAGGAAGTAAAAATTAATTTTATATTAAGTTTGTTATTTATAAAGAAACGGACTACATGTTGATCACAGTAACTAGCAAACTTGTTCTAGCTCTTGCATATGTTTAATTGCATTGGAATGACATGAAAATATTCTATAATGGAAACAAACACTTCGTTTCATACTAAAATTCATCCACACCATTCAGATTCACTTAAATTTGTTTTATTGTTTCACATTTTCATTCTTGGAAAAAGTAAGTTTTAATTTTTTAAATAACTTTTTTATAAGATGCAAATATGCCATTCCTGAACTGAAAGATATAGTAACAATTCTCAGTATCAACTAGTTTTAACTGATATTTTAACAAAAATATATGGTACCTTGAGCATATTTACATCATAAATGAACTACTCAAATTACATAAAATATTTTTATACAATTCATAATGAAGAAAGATAACAATATCATTTTGCATACATCACCAATTTTTTTTTAAATGTATCAGATTTTTCAATCAATTAACATCACCGCTATCTCCTCAAATTCTTCAGTTCTTCATAGATACTAGCTTGCATATAGACTACAATGTATTTCCTCTATACAGGAATACATATTAATGAAATTCTGAACCCTGGCAGAGAATTGTATTTTATGTAATATTGTACTGTTCCAGGAAAGGCAACCTGTATTTTCATTATTATAATATCAATCAAGTCAGTATTCTGCCACATTTTTAGATACTTTTAAAGAACTTTGCTAGGGAAACAATGAACCAAGTTTCAATATATAAAACACCTTAACTTCATCTTATTCTCAACTACTGAACTAATTCTTCTTTTATAAACTAAGGGTCTAATTCAAGTAAAAAATACAACTCTAAAGTACAAGGAAGGACAGTAATGTTGGCATTATACTTTCAGATATGCATAGTTTGAAACCATGTACAAAAAGAAATTCAAATTCAGTATATCCTGATTCTGTCATCAATTAGAAAAAGTCAAAACTATTGTGCTCTTCACTATGTTTAAAACTAAAGTGTTATCACAGAACATTAAAAGTCACCTTACATACAATATGTTTTACCCCCATGAGCTGAAAATGAAGAAAACCTTTTCAATCTCAATAAGGAATTTCCATTATACATTTAGTTTCACTTCAGAAAGAATACTTCATTATTAACAATTCTTCTCAGAAAACATGATAACATTATCAGCAGTTATCTGTAGATGAACTAATTTGGATTAAGAATGTTATATGAAAAAAGAATCAACATAAATACCATTACATATTGCAGAATAAAACGCCTGAGACCTGTATCTGGTTAAGCAGTAGTCCTGAAGTTACCAATCTTCCAGGTATTCCTGCATGATCCATTCAAAAATAATATTGGTCTGAAGTGCTTAAGATGCTCTTTAAATTGTAGAAACACTATTGAAACAGTGACACTACAAGATATTACAAAAGGAAAGTGACTTGAGAACAAGTCATCCAGTACTACAATTCAATTCTCTCCATTCCACATTTTTTGCATTGCTAACATAAAAACAATGAAAAAATATCCTTACACTTTAACACTTTCACATTCACAGAATGCAAAATCATATCTTGAAACTCTGGGATTCTGTTCAACAATAATTGGAAAACAAATTGAATATTATTCTAGGAAAGACTTACTTTGTAATACAGTCTTATATGTAGTAATAAATGTACTCATTCCATATATTAAAATAATATATATTTCGTGTAAGAAAGTCTTTTGTAAAAATGCTAATTTATCACATTAAAAAAATCAATGACTACAACACATACAATCATTTCAATGAGTGATTCACTACACATATACAAAATATGAAGATGTAGAAAAGACTTATAAAATAATGAGCATTTGTCATACAGTACTAGAATGGACAACATTCTTGTCTTCTCAACTAACTGTTACTTAGTACTTGAGATGATAACGCATCCGTTTCGCTTTCCTCGCCTTCTCTCGCTTCTAACGTCACAGCCGTATGCATTTCTTCATTCCTCTTTGCATTCTTATTTATACATACAGATTCTGGAAATCAAATGAGATTAGTGTCAGTTGACATGATTTACTTAAAAAAAAAGGACAGAGACAGAAATTGGTCAAAAGGCTACATTTTCATGTACCTCAGAGAAATTATAAACATTGTAAAGGAGAATTATCAAAAGAAATTTGAAAAGAAAAAGTGAAAATAATACATTTTTTTTATCATTGTGAAACAAAATTTAAAACCAAGGATTTAAAAATTATGATAATTTGGTAGATTAATATTGATTAGGGAATTGAAATTATACACATAATTAACAATATTTTCCTCCTAAATACTTTGTACCTTCTTTGTCAGTAGTGACCAAGTGATCCAAGTGTATGCCATTCTGTGAGACGACAGGAACTGTGAACACATTGATATTACTAGCTGCATCGGTAGGTGCTGCAGGACCAAGCCAACTGAGAATGACTGGTAGGAACAGAAGACCATGAAAGAGGCCAAATATAACTACACCAGTAAATAACTGCAAACAATCAAAACAATAAAATCACTTCCAATCCAATATTTTCAATTTTAATCAACATCAGCTATTACATTAAAGCAATAATTTGCTTTTCAAAAGTATTCTGAAAAATTTGGTCATTATGACTAAAAGAGAAAATTGAGCAGGTTTTTAAAATATCATTATGTATGCAATTTTGGCTCCATTCTTCTTTGTACTTTTGGTGTAAAGGCATACCAAAAGCAGTTTATTTTAATTGATCAATGCACAGGCAACATTTAGTATATTATTTAGAATATATATTAGCTAGTTATCTTCAGTAACAATTACATTTTTAATAATGTAAGAAACTGGAAACACTAGTTCTTCACTAAGATTCGGGATACACAATCATCATTAAAGCAGTAGCTATTGACTGGAAAATGTAACCTGTCACTTTTTATAAACCTCTTCAGGAACAGGTCATTCTCAATACTATTTCAAAATTGTTATTGATGACCCACTTACATTAGAAATTTCAGTGTACTACTGAACTTTGCAGTGTTCAAAACTAGAAATGACACACTATAGTAATAAAATAATCTAAATTTAGCAAGCAGTTCTAGTATTCAAGACCATACAGAAAGAGAAAGTTAATTTGTTTTTATTACATTATTTTAATTTGATACTGGAAGCCAATTATGGGTCATAAATTAAAAACCATTGTTCTTTTATGTCAGTTATTGATACATTTTCCACTAAATATTACAATATGTATGTAAAGGTTGAAGGTAGCTTAGTGACCTAACTTTAATGTTAACTTTATTGTAATAATTTTTTTCCGAAACTTTTTTCCCCACATCTGAAGTCCTAGAAAATACACTCCAAAAAATTGCAAATATAACAATTATTATAATAACCTTATAAGAGTTACATTCAAAAGAAAATTTGAAAAAAATATTCTCTCTCTTCAAACTGATTTCTTAACTCCTACTATTACTTCCAGTGAATAACCTCACCCTCCAGCCCCATTTACTTTCCCAGGAATCCAGAGACAATTTTTATTTCTGTTAGTAATGAGATTTCATATTTCATTCTGATCCTGGCCAGTTTGTTTTCTCCTTATATTCAATAGCCATTCTAATGATTTTTTAGGAGCTCTTTTTCGTCCATTAATTCAGCAAAACACATCTAAACTAAATGAATTGTTTCTTTTCAATTTCCTCTATGATGTGCTGAAGATCCACATTCACCTTAACTCCTGTGTTTCTAATTCTTGCTTTTCCTAATGTTTCCCAAGCGCTCTCAACTCTTACTTGCTTATTTATAAGTTGGTATATTTCTGCACTACATAGTCCTTTTAGTTGCACATTATTGAGTTGTGTGTGTTTGCTTACGTTCAAATTTCGTGATATAATACAGGACTACTAAGATATTTTACCTTTACTAATTTGATTTTCCAATTCCTTTCCATAAAATCAATTTCTCTATTATTGCTACAATGCTTATATAACTAGAGTATGTACAGAATCTGATCTGTCAACTTCACTGGTTTCCAAAGCCAATGTGACACTTAGACAGACTTATATTTATTTAGGAAAAAAGAAAATGGTAAAAACTGTATGTGACGTATGGGGGAGAAGATTATCTGCGCATGTTTTCTTGAGTTCCAGAATCCCTTCCAGTCATTTTAACTATAAATAGTTGAAAGATGAGTATTTCAACATAAATGAGTAAAAATAAATGTTAAAAATCGCAACATAGCAATATTTGAAAAAAAATAGACATTTTCGTTTCAAAGTAATAGAACACTTATTTGCATCGGTAAAAGAATTGTACGTATAATTTTTCTGCATTGCTAACAAAATAGTAATTTGCCTTTACTTCTACTATTAACATTACAAGCAAAAGGAGTGTTCATAATGTGCACATAATGAAGCTACATTTACATCCAGAAGCAAAACAAGGGGCCATCTCAGCATTTGCTCAATGGATCAGGGAAACTGGACAAAAAACTGATTGAGATGGGGGTCACAGACCCAGAAGCTGAAGTACATTATTTGTTACAAACATATGAAGTCTTTTAAAAAAATTATACAATACATGTGTAAACTAATTCATTATATATTATATGTTTTGTTAAAATAAACATTATTTTTTCTTTTTGATAATCAGGATAGTCACTAATTGTATAAACACAGTTATGCAGTAGAAAACATTCGACTTTTAACTTCAATTTGTGAACTGACTTCAATTGTTTAATGTCACCTGGTAGCGAGTTGTAAAGTAACATACATGCATTATATGTGGATTTCTGATGGTGAGCACTTTATAAACGTGATTTTTATGACGTGTTGTAATTATATATATCATTATTGCATGAAAACAAGACAAGTGTATTATCCACATATGTTTTCTTGAGATCATCTCTTGCTAGATGCAAGAGGAATAGGGGGGGTGTTTTGATACCAGGATTGTTATATCAAATCTATAGCTCATTGTTTGAAGCAAAGTACTTTTTATTACATGGTAAATAACATTTTTGTTGTTAGATTTTGCCAACAATGCTCATTTCTTTCTATTATTCTTAATTCAACAAATATTGTTAGTAAGTGGGGGTTGGGAGTCCAGAGGCTTGCTTGAAGAAACATGCTCATGTAATGCTACCTCGAGTCCAGCTCACTGTTTTTTCCAGGTTAAAGCTTCATGCTCGCTTTTTGTATAATTACTTTATCTCCTTGGATGTGTACCATTCCAGGCTTCTCATATTTTCACCACTAATACCCAATTATCTGTGAAGAAAATGGTAGCGAGTGTAGTTATTGTGTGGTATTTCCACACCAGCATGTTTCATTTTTCATTCCCATCCAGTAGTATCAGTATTTTATTTATATTGTTTTTCTTGAAGATCTCGCATAACTACATAACTGGTACATTTTCGTACATTTTCAACTCGGTATAACAAATGTAATTGGTAATTGCATACTAGTATGACAAGGAAAATTACTATGTTCTGTCCCAGTTTATTTCTTTTGCATCACCCGGGACAAAAGAAAAGGTTGCCTAAACAGGAGCAATCCATGCTAAGGATTCATTTCTTCCACTTCGGAAGTCACCACTTGCCTATGACAATTGCAGATACATAACCATCTTAAACAGTGCATTTCTGCATTCACTAGACTGCATCTCACTACGGATGTGCAACACATGCTTACTCACCAATCTGGCTTTAAAATCAGGGATTTAACATAAATAAGGAAAAAAGTATTTTATCTTGCAGCCAGAACTTTAGAAATGAATTTTGGGAGACATGCAAACTTAAGAATACTGTTTCCCAAAGTTTCTCCAAATTTCAACAAGTTTTGCAAATAAGAAAAATATTTTATGTACTCAATGTGAGTGTTCATTTTAGTTTAAATTTAACCTTATTAGTTTTAATCTTTTACTTTCATTGAAATTATTGAAAATATTGTAATAAAGTCTTGAATCACATTAATCATATTGTATATTACAATAGGGCCAAGGTAAAAATTAGAAAACCCAGAATTAGATATTAGTAACAATTGAAGATATTATATTCAAACCATTTAAAGCTTAACAAATTTACATTAACTAGTTATAACTTAAAATAAACTTCCCATGTCATTTGTGTGCAGGAAAGTTTCTCTAAACTTCGATGCAAGCAGTTATGTTGCTTGCACCAAGGGTTAGCAACTACAAGAATACAGAGTCACATTTATCTCTAATGCATTCTCAAAGCATAAGATTTTCGTGGGCCACAGTCCAGTGCAACCATCCTCACTTACAAGCACCAGAAAGAATATGCACCGCATGTAACAGTTTTTCCCATTACCTTTCCCTTCCTTTTTGTTTCTCTGACTTCTTTTTTTAGAATGATTTCAACAAAAAAAAATTAAGTACAAAAAACGTTGTCGAGGAGATAAAGAAAAACAAGATGCAAGCATAAGGACATTGCACTCCTTACACCTACTTATAAAACTATTAAACATCAGAACACTATAAATCTGAAATACTTGAATAGGCAAATAAAAATCAAAAAAATTCCTTTCTTCCCTGCTGGATATAGCAGAAGGAAGAAAATTCACAAATAACATTATAATCCTATGCTAGTAATTTTATACACACATTTTCTATGCAGTACATGTAGAAAATAACTTTTTCATACCTTGAAAAATGTTGTAAACAAGTACGATTTGCTGGTTCCCAGCAATGCAAATGCTAAGAAGGTGCTTAAGCCACCATTAAAAATGGCAGTTCCAATCAAATTCAGTGTGGTAATAGCTCGCTCTGGTAAAATAAAATAATATTTTGAAGTAACAATAATTTAACAATTAAAAATTTATAACTATTAAAATACTTCTCAAAATTCACTGTAATATTACACTCACGTTGTTTGGTTCCTTGCAGTCGAGTAAATTCATGACCCACATGAGCTGCATAATCTACAGCTAAGCCAGCACATAATAGTACCATGATTGATGTTGAAATTTCAATAGTTAATCCAAGCCAATACATGGAGCCTACTAGATCCACAACAGTAAATATAACACAGCAGTTTACCCAAAAACTGGTTTGAAGATTCTGAATGAGAATAAGAGTCACCATTGCCACAGCTGCAATCGTCAAACCTAAATTTCTTAAAAGCTCTTCCCCAATTATCTGAAAAATAATAAATCATTAAAATATAATACAGTTTATTCAGGCAATAATTCTAGCATATGGCATTACAATATTATACAGAAAGATAACATTTCTGTATTAATAAATAATAATTATGATGCACAATTTCATGGAGATTGAAATTTGTGTGGGAATCTCACATTCAAAATATGCACAGTAACATGTAATTTTTACACACTCAATCTGAAAGAGAGATAAATAACACACATTTAAAATAAAGTAAGAAAAGGAGGAGGAGGAGGAGAATAAGAAGACTATAAAGAAAGTGCCAAGGGAATTATCCAAAAATTAAAAGTTTATCCATATTCAGGCCAACGTCATTTCATTACCACCGATATTTTGATTTTTTAGGGTACTTTACATAAAGCGAGTTTACATTTACGTTTTTTGGAAGCATCGGCCAGAGATGGATTCATATGGTGCTTCTGTAGCGTAGTGGTTTGAGCGACAGCGAGTTAACAAACTATCTGAATTCAGGTCTCGGGATGGAAAACAAAATTACTGGCTGGAAATAATTTTGCAGATTTATGTAGTAGTATAATACAGCAGAAACCTTGAAATAACGCGGGTAAGTATATGCTTTTGTAACAAGCACCAAATATTACTTCAAATGATAAATTTGGACTTTAATCATGTGAAACTAATGGGCTACTTCAAAGGGAGTTTGTTTCGTTTACATTATATACATTTCCTCATTGTACCATAACTTTTTAAACTGTAATTTAAGCATTTGTAAAATATAACTAGTACTTTCACATTGGTAAAAGCACCTCAGCAGGAAAAGGGTTTACACTAACTTCTCATTATCTTTATATTACCTGTTAAAAATAAGGTCAAACAATAAATCATTTTATACTGTATGTTTTTATTTTCAAAGAAATTGGATTAAAGTTTGTAATCTTTTGCAAAGTGCATTAAATGAATAATAAACAAACGGCTCACTGTGAACCTATTACATATTAAATCTACATATTAAAATAATTATGAATTGGGGACAGAATTTAAAGAAATCTATTTTTGCTTTACAGCAAAAATATGTTCTGACAATAAGAAATGGCCCATTTTTATATGACCTTTGTTTTTGTAAGTGTTTTTGTAGTCTTCAAATACATCATTATTTAACTTTTTTCATCTTTTTTAAAGCATTTTTCATTGATTTCATTGATTTTAATATTTTAATGGTACTTGCTTAAAATAATATTAACAAAATGCAACAAATGTTTCCAAAAAATTCCTGAGTTGCCTATTCAATTTCTTTGCTCAGAAATTGTAGGATCAGATGTTGTGAATAAGTAATCTAAGGTTGCAGAGATGCACATCATCATCATCATCATCGTCATGTTATAGAATTTGGGGATAACTAAAGAAGGAGATTTTCTGCCAGAGAACAGACCAAACCAAAAGTTTGATTGCCGAGTTCATTTTAACAAAAAAAAGAAGACTCGATTACATTAAAACCTATCCAACAGCTCGAGTAGTTCATCTGAACTGGTTTTGATGAATTTTTTTTTAAATAATTTTTCTTTGCTTTTAGATTTTAAAAATATTTTAAGAGAATTTTATTGATCCTTTTTGGCGATGTCTTAGGTTATCAAAATCCGCCCCCTAATTATAAACAATATCCTAATTAAGAATTATGACCATAATCTACTGAAATGAAATTTTTTTTAAAAATCTACATAACAAATGGTGCCTACTACTCCAATATTTAATTTTAAACACAAGTAACTTATTAACACTTCTATAATAGCAATCACACATTTGCAAGACACAAAATAGAGTTTTTAAGTATTAGATTATCTTGTATCAATTATTTTGAATTATATTATTATCAATATTTATATATACTATAGTTTTTTACCTTATTAGCAGTCCAGGATACATATTCTTGTGAGAAAGCAACAAGCTGTTTGCCATCTTTTGTCAAATTGAGAGAATTGATGGTGTCCCAGATGGATGCCATTGCCTTTACTTGTTCCGCTGTAGTATTCATTACAATATGTTGAATTGGAATTTGTGCTGCCTATTAATTAGATTGGCAGGTAACATTAAATGTACACCAAAAAACTGTTTGTGGTTTTTCAAAAAAAAAAAAAAAAATGTTTTTGCTACACTTACTGTAATATTATAGTCAGTATCACCATCAGCAAATGTAAATTTTATATCCTTAATGTACGTTTGTCCCTCACGAGTAAGGAGAAGGAATTCTAGCAAATATGCCTTATATTCATCTTCATTCTCAGGTTCTATTTCAAAGTATAAACATTCATAATAACAGAACATTAATTCATAATAATAAACATTTAACAAGAACAATAGAACATCCAAATTTATCTTTAATTAAAGCAAATAAATATTTTCAAATATCAAGCACTAAACTTTTCTAAATATTAGATTAAGTAAGATCTTATCAACTCACCTGTTTTATGTTTTTCAAGCCAAGCATCATAAGACTTGTACCATATATCAAGAGTAGCTTTATTAATATATGGATTACTTTCTAAACGAGTTGCCAACTCATTAAGTTCTGCTTTATCTTCATAGAAGTTCACATCACCTGAAGAGAGCATTCACAATGAATTATTTGCCAAAAATTTAATAATTATATTTCTGATCAGGAAAATTTACCTACCCATATAAATTGCAGCTCGTTTTCCATATTTGGGAAAGTATTCATTTAATTTGTCATTATACAAAATTGGATAAGAGTCTGGATATAAATACCAGATAGGATCAAATTTCTGCTCTACTTGAAGGACACACCATATATTGACACTGAAGAGTACTAACGTTGTTAAAAGAATAAATACCTGAAAAAATATTTCTATTTATAAAACAGAGAAACTCAATAAATGTGTAATTTGAAAGTGACCTTTACCTTCATAGGAGTCTTCATTACATTTGGTATGATATACTTGTTAAATACAGTTTTCTGGACATTTCTCTGGCTGCATGAATTTGGTTTCCAATTTTTCTGGGGCCTATAGCAGCAATCTCTGTTTGTCATGATTCGTTTCTCATCTAATGCCAAGCAACTCAAGAAGAAAAATATTTCAAATACATATAAGCAGAGAATACCAGTGGCAGCAAAGACACAAAATGATCTGAGAAAGGGCATCACCTAAATAAAACAAAGTTAAAAATTATCAATTTGACAAAAGTACATACAGTAAAATAATCTTTGAAACATTAAAGAATATTACAGTTGATGTTCCAACAGCAAATGCTAAGATGTCAGTCAATGATGTAACCGTAATGGAAACTCCAGCTTTTTGAAGTGTTCTTCCAATTCTCTCTGGAATGGTCATCTGTTGTCTTCCTTCTAGATTATCTAGGCACTGAGAAAGAATATTATTTTAAAATAATAATCCTCAAAAGACAGAAATAATTATTTATATAAAAGGAAAAACTCAACCTCTTGGTCCAACAAAAGTATAAATAATGTAAAATGATGCATTTATTGACCTCCTCAACTAGACATTGTTTTCAACTGTATGTCAATAACACATTTGGTAAAGAGTTCGTGTATCAACCTTGCTCCCAATTCTATCATCCATCCCATCATCACTTAAGTACTGTTGTTAGTCAGCGGTCACGAATCTGTTTTTAACACCAGTTGCCTACTCAAAAAAGTGGTGGGTGCATGAGGGATCGAGCAACAAGTAACAAAGGAATTTCTGTTTCTTTAGTAATAGAGGACTACATTTTTTAATATCTGCCACTGAGTTTGCGACAAAAGAGATGCATCTTTTGCTTTGTATTGTGTGTTTGGAAATAGATTCTAAATTGTATTTGAGGTACTGGTGTAGTTTACCAAAACTTACTATATGTGTGCACAATCTACCAAGTGTCTTATTTCATCCCTTCGGTATTTTGTCCCCAAGACATAATTAAGAACACCCTTTAATCTGATTAATAATAATATGCAAGTTCACCTTTTATCAATTACTAAACTGGGTAATGCAAGTTTCATTACTTTTTGTAAAGATCTTCTTTCAGTAAGCCAACTCTTTCTTTCATTCCAGTCATCCATGCTTTCAAAAAGTGCTAGATGCGGAACAGCAATGCTGCTTACAATAAAGGTTCTTAAGTGTAGGCTGCTTCATTTGCAAAGGATCGTTCTCCAAAAAGAAAACAAAGAATGGAGTAAAATGGACAATTACATTGAATGCTTCAATTGTTTGCTCAAGAGGTACACCTTTCCACCAGTCAAAAGAAATTTGTAACTTCTCAACAGAGGCAAAAGTGTTACATTCATGATAAATAGCAACTAAAATTATCTTTATTTAATACTTTTGGGAAAATCATAAAGTTTATTTAACTGAGTAAGTTTTACACAATGAAAGTATATTTTTGTTAATAAAATACTAGATATTGGCAGTATCGTACAAGCGTTCTAGACCCATTCTGAGCTTCTGAGCTTCCCACGAACTAAAATCTTCAAAGTGAAATTAGACTTACTTTTGTGGGAACATGAGAGATGAAATTAGTAGTGTTTTTTAAGGCAGTAAAATGAGTGGATGAACACTTTAAATTTTTCAGATACCAATAAACACATGCCTGGTTACTTCAGACATGTTCTAAGCTGCTAAACATTTTTTCAGATTTTACACTGCTTGATTTTAGCATAAGGAAAGAAATAGCTTAAAGAGATAATTTGCATGCATCATACCATATATTGTCTGTATATACAAAAATCACTGGTTTACAAACATTTATTCCAGATGTGCAAAAGAATGGTTGTTATTGATATTCTCACAAATCAGATGAATCATTTTTACTCAGTTTGAGGAGAGAGCTGTTCACTGTGCTATTTGCTATTGTTTCAATTAGTGATTGATCAAATATTTTGACACAATAATATAAAAGCAGACAATACGATAAAGTGCTTCTTCAATTCACAATAATCAATTCAGAATTTTCAAGAGAGAATACATTGTAACTTACTTGTACAAGAACATAAATATTGTCAACTCCAACTCCTAACAGTAAAAATGGCAGGACAGGATGAAGAGGGCCCCAAAAAAAGCCCATGTAAAAACAAAGACCATAAGAAGCCAATATAGATTGGCCAATTACAGACACTCCCAACAACGATAGCAAAATCTGGAAAAAACAACAACAACAAATGGTCATTTGTTATTTAAGAATATTTTAAGATATAAAGAAATTTTAGTTCATTTCATTCTTTACCCACACATTTCATTCTTTACCCACACATTTCATTCTTTACCCACACATTTCATTCTTTATTGTACTTACTCTCTGTTCAACCATGTTGCATCTTCCAAGCATTATTATGACATAGAGAATAATAAGAGAAAATCCAGCAAAGAGAACAGTTATGTTATTTTGTAGAACTTGACCTAGTACATCCTTGTAACTGAAATAAGAAGTATCACTTACTGACAATCCAAACAAAACAAAATTAACTTTCTTGCACTTCATTGAACAATGTACAATTCAGGAAATTTATTAATTACCTGCGAGTTGAAACCGCAAAAACTTTCATTCCTTGTGGAAGACTCCTATTTGAATGCAACGCCTGTCGAATGAATTCTAATTCCCATTCAGCTGATGAATTATCAGACTGTAAAACAATTTTTTTGAGTTATAGCAACTTATCTGAAATTGAAAATATCGCAAATAAATACTCTAAAAGAAAAAAGAAAGAGAGAGAGTTATTGGATGGTAGAGGAAATTTGCAGAAGACCCTCAGATTTTGGATATAACTTCACCTTTTTAAGCATCCAATTAAGAATTGTGGCTTTTGCACGGACCTTTTCGCCAGGTCCCCATTCAACTCCTGACAAAAGCATTCTCGGATCATCCAGAATACTCTTTGGCTTGCTAATCAAACAAAAAGACAAACTTCAGTTAGAAAATTTGTCATTACCTTAACCTACTTCCCCAGCAGGATGAGTTGGGTAGTTTATGAAAGTTTTTGTACGAAATGATGCGAATTCACGCGAGATTGCCCTTACGAGAGGGCAAAGGCACCAAATGTTGAGGAGAAAAAGAATAATTTCTCCCTCGTAATACACGTTTCTTCTTTACTCAATTATGATTCTCCCCCCTCAATAATTGTGATAATTAAAAAATTCTTAAGGTCTATGAAAACTCTTAGGGTCCTCTTGAAATAAAACCCTCAGAAACGCATAGGGAAAGAAAACAACCTATGAGAATATTTAGTTTTTGTTGTATTTCTACATCATATCTGTAGGGAATGGGATCCAAATTAAGCCCAATTATAATAGTAAGTCTTGCAATATCACTTCCCAAAGGACCTCTCCCTGAAGGACTGTAAACTGAAATGGAATCTTAATTAGTTTAAACTTCAAAATCATAATCTGTCCAAAAAAAGGCACAATTTAAGTATTTTGAAATAGTAAGAATAAATTCAATATGAGAAGTCTCTCAATAACACAATTTCTCACTCAAATAATATCAACAATTATATCAAATTTTAACCAATTTTTTTTACCTTAATATTTACAAGACTAAATGTAGCTTCACTATGCTCACATTTTGTTTCGCTCTCCTTTTGCTACTTTTGGAAGGAGTAAAGCCAAAGATTTATTTATTTTTATTATATTATATTATATTATATTATATTATATATATTATATTTATTATATATATTATATATTATATTACATTTGTATTATTATATTATTATTATTATTATTTTCTTTATAAAATCTATATAAAAATATCAAACTTTTAGTTTGTTTTATGATGCATGTAAGCTTTCTATAACTCTGGAGTCAAAATTCATAGTTTTCAAGTGCTGCTAATCTCTATTTGCAAAACATTTTCTCTAAAACGATTTAATTTATTAATAACTTGCCTTTCTAAAACTTCTTTTTCTGTACATTAACTAAAAGGTTTATGATGGCATTTTTTCCATAAACTTTTTACAACTTGCAGAGTTGGAAGGGATATTTTGCAAACTACTTTTGTAAGTTCACAAAAATATTCAGAAGAATATAACAAATTTTCCAACAAGTCTCCGATAAATTGTAGCCACAAATTAAAACCGCTTTTGCAGATTTCATTTTCAAAACTCAAAAATATTATCTCCACAATATTTATTCAATGAGCTAGAATTCTTTTTTCTGGTCTTCCTTGTAGAATCCAAATTAAAGAAAATTGAAAAAGGGTTGAAATTATGCATTAAGAAACAATGAAAAGTTGATGTGTTATGAGCCACGTTGATTTTTTTCTTACACATATATTAAGGAAGATATTCAAAGTTAAATATGGACTTATTTAAATACTAATTTCTTGCGAGATTTTACTGCAATCTACCTAGTTTGCGTCAGTAAAGGCAAAATTGATAATTTCATTGATTAGAGGAGAAAAGTTGTGCAAGTAAGCTCAAATAATCTGTTTAGCAACAAAGGAAATTTTGTATCTAAAAGTTGTGAAAATCATATGGTTATAATGTACAACAATGATGCACATGGGCCAATAAATAACTTTGTATAAAAAACTATTTCACCTATAAAGCTAAATTACAAAAGCTAAATTACATTCCTGAGAGACATGTGGGCATACTAAATTTCATCAAAATCCAAGATAGTTGCACACAGAGCCCTGCCTTGACATGGAATGAACTTATTACTAAAAAACTCGTGGGTGGACACAGATTGAGAAAGTACGAATCCTCTGACACTGTTCCATATTGCATTCTTCAGAAACAAAACCTCTGAAGAATTATAGAATTAATTTTTATTTCCTCTCAGTCTCTTACTAACTACACATTTTCAATTCTGTTTTTTAATTATAAATATTATGGTTATTATAAATAATTGTTTCCTTCAAAACAAAATAATGCCAGTCAAATGAATTTTTAAAAAACTTCAAGTATTCAATATACTAATTATTACTGACTAAATGCACAAAAAACATCTTGAAATTAAATGGCAAAAGTGGAAAAAAAGGAAACTACACTCCTCCTCCACACATTTCTAGCCAATATAAATGTGTCTTAATCTTAAAATTACTTGGTAATTACTTGGTAAAACTTCCTCTGAATTCAAAAAACATTTAGTTTATTTGGGATTTTACCTCCAAGCAATACTATATATGAATGGTGATTCTTACCTCTCATTAAGCTGATGCCGTAGAGTAGAAAAAATGTTATCATTTGTTAAAGAAAACACTTCAACGAAACTACCATTTTTATTCCAAAGTTTCAAAAGGCTTTGATATAAACAATCATTTGGAATTGAGGACTTATCCACCAGTGATTCAAATATATCATCAGCAGTGGTTTGAAACCATGTGTTATATCTGAAATATAGGAAATTTAATTCAGTTACTTGAATTATGTACAACAGGAATAGGAAAGTGAAATGAGAATTATTCCCATAAAATCAAAGACTTACCTTGCACATACATCATCCCATGAGTGACCAGACACGCTAATGTCCCGTACAGCCATTTCTAATCTTGCTATCTGCAACCATGCACAAGAAAATCTACAGTGCAAGAATTTAATTTGAGAAGAGTGTTGTGCTAATTACTATGATTTGTAAGTGCAAGTAAAGGTACAACATTTCTAATGAAGCATAAAATTAATAAAAAGTTTTTCATAAAAATCTTATGAGTTGCTTGGTACACGTTTTGAAAATTATATTCAAAAATGCAAATTCTCTATAAGAGAGTAACAAAGTGAAAGCTACCCCCAAATACACACAATGAGGATAATGCAATGAAATTCTGATTTATTGCACTGTCAGTGTAAAACAAAATAAGAATTAGAAAAATTTATAATTTCCAGTTTACACAATATTTGTACAGAAAATAATCAAAATTTAATTTCGAAAATTCACAAAAAAATGGCACACACACACACACGCAAGAAGCAGAAAATACAAAGGCAACGATAAAAGTTCATCCAAATACTTTTCGTGAATGCAATCTCATGTGTCAATAACTATAGGGGCGGCGGAGGCGGCGGCAGCAGCAATGAGTGTTTGTAATGATAAGAGCGGTGATGATGGAATGTAGAATTTAAGCAAACAACCTAAATAAAAATGTCTTCCTCATTTCTCAGTGTTTTCGGGTCAAACAAAAATCTGACACTGAATAAACCTTTGAGATTGTTTTAGTAAATATAGTAAATTTTCAGATCATGTATGTGTCCACGTTAAATAAAAATGATTACTTACGATTTAATGAAGTATAAATCATACGTAATAAAAATTAAGATGACAAGTCTATTTTTGCAATTTTCGAATATGATTTACATTACTCTATTTTCTAAACATTTAAGGTTGGAAATATTTGGAATTGTGAATACTTTACCTCGAGAAATAAAATTTAACTGATCAATTAGCAACGATGCGTTAATGCCCTCCCCCATTTGTACAATGTGAACTAAAACCTGGTATATTTCGATTTTCATATTACTGCAAACTATTTATGCTGTGAATGGGTAGTAGAATATATAAAACTGCAGCGAAAAACATTTTATACAGAAAAACTCGTATTGTGGGCCTGTAATACCGATAAAATGGATAATTCTTTTTCCAATATTGTAGATTTTCTACTCTAACATATTGGGTAATCAAAATCCACGCATTTGTCCACGACATCAAAAATTTCGATCGCGGCCGAACATCTGTCCGTTAATCCGTCTGTAAACAACGCTGGTGATTTCATCAAAATTTGTAAACCTCGATTTATTTGGCGTTGTGATGTCGTTGCACATTCAATTTGAAACGGATATTTTTATTTTTAGGGGTACTTTACACGACTTTAGGGCTTTGACATAACACGAAGTTTAAACATTTTCATTTTTTTCCTAAAAATTTGCCCGAAATGCTTTATTTTTTATCTTATTTTCAAGCAATTTGAATTATTGTAAAAGGAATTTATTATACGAGGGTGACATCCTCTGAAATTTTGTTAATAATTCACGACCAAGACCAGCGGAAGCAGACCTACGTTCATACCATTTACATAAGTTTACGTTGGGAGATAAATTTAAATTGATGTTCAGTATTATATCATCAAATAATGCCCATAAATAAAACGTAGAAAATTCACAACACACTGCACATTCATTGAAATTGAACATGACAATACAGGATTACATTGTTAAAAAACATTACTTATTATTAGTGAAGGAGAAGTAAATATATTTCTAAAATATGAAACCGATGACGAAACCTCTCATCTGTATGAAGACTTCGAGGTAGCAAAATGTGACAAACTAATTTTAAATATGCAGTCTAAAATACATAAATATTACAATATTATACCGCTCCATATGTGAAGGAAACTGGATGAAATAGCAAGTGAAGATAGCGCTTAGTTAACTACGTTCATGTTGTGCGCGCACCAGACACATTGTGCGAAAAAATAGTTCAAAAAAATATTTGGTGCGTGAATTTAGTTGCCAAGAACCACGAAACAGATGCCACCAATTTCATGTTGACGGATTTCCCACCTGCTTAAGGGATCCTCAATCCATGGTCGTAAGGAACGTCCATGAAATACGAGCGTTTGTAAGTGACCACTTATTTTGAGAAAGCACTTATTCAAGGTCTCCTTATTCCGTAAGTTTTGTGATGAATTCAGCCCTTAGTGTCTTTGAGAAATATTTATCATGGCGGACAAATGCTTGCTGCATCCCCC